CCACATAGATTTGTGTAACTGCTAGAGAGGAAAGAATGTATTACCTAGTATGTTCATACCTGTAACACCAAACAGGGTAATAAGTTGGCTTCCATTATCATTTGCTTCAATGGAATTAGTGAAAAATGATCATTGCTAAATACAATATAACGTTAAGTATATGTAACCACTACAATAATTTTCTATTTTATTTTATTTTTTATTTTTATTTATTTTTTATTTATTTTCATTTTATTTTTTATTCTGTTTTATTTTATTTCATTTAATTTTATTCTATTTTATCCGTTCTATGCATTATCAAACTTCTCCTCTACTGCTAGAGCTACTAAAACTTCAGACCGAATATATTAAACATTTTAATTCGCCCCCTCTAGCGGTTTGGGCCAAATTGCAGCTTTCCAAAAAAATCCAAGATGGCGGCGGCAGATCGGCGCGGCTCGGCGATTGCCGATTTCATTGTATTTTCCTTGGTCTTTTACGCGATTCAAGCAAAGAAAACAAGTTGACCACAAGAACAAAAGAGTAATACAGCACTGGGAATCTAATGGTCCGTTTTGTTGGGCGGTAATTTCTCATTTCAAGTGAATATTTACGTGCGTCACAGTGATGTATTCACCAATCAAAAGCGACATCTTGCGACTTAAGCAAATATGGAAGGTTAATGTACATAATTTATGTCATTGATTTATTGGTCCAATTACAGCAGCTATTAGCGAAATTCTAGAACATTAAATGCATACTATGATATAAAACAATGGTTTTGTGGTAAACAGCATTTCCTCTATTTTAGCAACTTCGTTGTATAAGAATAACGACACTATCATCCGGTAGCTCGACCCCACAAAGTAAAGTATACATGCAGAGTAATTGGTTTCATTGGTTTTCACGGTCGAAATCAAGATTTCTTTAAACATCCAAGGTATCTATTTTGGAGCACAATATCTCGGCCGCTCAGGCGGCCGAGATAAAAACTGGTCTGGGGTCCGCGCGGACCCCAGGTGTACAGATTAATCAGTCCGGGAAGGTGTACTGTTGAGGGTTAAACACACCCGTGAAGTGTCATGATTCGACATCTCTTCTTTCTAAACGGTCCTAATTTGCAATTGTGTAGGGTAGATGAAATGTATTTTTACAGCAATAACCATAATATATACATTTTGCATGGTCCTGATCTCTGTGTGGTTAAGTCAATTTGAAGACCCCCAGCGAAGTAGGCGTTGGCTCCCCCAGCGACACATAGCAACCACCTTTGACCCCTAGTTTTCCAGATTTTCCCCATTGTTCGCTAATTGCCCCCTCCCCACCTAGTGTGAAAACTTCCCTAGAGGGGTGCCGCTGGCCCAGGTGAGATGTTACCTGGCACCCTGCAGGCGTGTGAAGGGCTGTATAACAGTACTGTCTGGCAAGGGAAGCAGGATGTGTATTGGATGTGATGTAACAGTGTTCCAGGCGTCAGAAAATAGTTTGAATGGCCGTCTGAATTTTTTGCTTGTATAGCTACATATAGTTAGTTGTATCAAGGACATTATACACAGATGTGTATAATGTCCTTGGTTGTATACAGCTTAGCTCAATGTATCGCCCCCAAAGTTCAGTTCCCGCCAATAGTACACCGACTATGGTACACTGGGATTTTGACTTAGTGTGACATTGACTTATATATAAATACCCTTACCATCATCACACCGACTGCATGCATGTACTTATGCCCTTCTGTTACAGTATTCATGTTTGTTCTTATCAAAGCTCCACCACTAAGTCTGGCCCAAAGGATTGCTTCTTCTAATTGAACTCTTTAAGAAGTAAACTTCTCTTGTAAACCCAGTTTCGTATAAAGGTAATCATGCTGCTAACTAGCTGTCACTTGCAAAATGGGAAATTTAACAGTTTTTTTTAAATACAAATTTAAAAAAAGAAGAAAGGTTTCTGTGCCACTTTTTCATTTGGTGATTTGGCCTTCCTTGTACTGAGGACATTATACTAGTACTTGGTGTACAGTCTTTACTGAATCCAAGGAAAATGCCTGAAATAATTTACATGTTACCATTAATTTCCACAAAATAAAGACTGAATTCCCCATTTTTCAAGTGACTGGCATATGTGATTACTTTGTTTACATTGTTTTGCAAGAGTTATATTATATCCATGCTCAGAACACTAAGGACTGAAAAATCAATACTATAGTTCACATGATTTAACATTTTTTTGTGTCTTGATCAAACAATTCCTCCAAATTGCTTTATGTGCATGAAACAATCATATAAATGTCTGCCAAATCAAGGAGGTTCTAGGGGGTTCTAACTACATGACCAAATTTATCTCATTTTGCTTGGATAAACCAAGAAGCTTCAATTTCAAACTGAAGCTCCTTTGATAAATAGTCTTAGTCTAACTTTTCTGGAAATTTCTGTATTGTGTACATGTATGTGTGCTGTGCTTGTTAATTGTCTCTTCAGATACTCCAGTGCTAAAAAGTGTCTATTGTACTTGTTTATCAACCCAAGTCAAGCTGTCTGACATGGCAGGTAAAGGTGCGAAGCAGCCGTGAATTTGCCTATTGTTTTCCTCAGTTAGTCTGGTACCCTGCTGTCAGGGACTGAGTCAACAAACTAATTGGCCATATTGTCCCCTTATCCAAACAAAGAGATCATATGTCATCCTTGGAGTGACGAAAAGTTGCAATTTTGTCATATTTTTTTCTTCTCAAAGGCGGAAACATATGCAATGTTCTTGTTTCACGCAAAAGACATGTCTGAAAAGTAGACAAGTTGAATCTTAATGTTCAAGTGGTCCCAGGGTTGTGCACATTTCCAGTACATTGTATGGGATCTATGAATATTTCAATTATGCCATTTTTGGTAATATTTTGAACATATTAAAGAATATCTCTGCTATAATGATATTGGTAGATGTGGGACCACTTGAATATTATAGAGTGATCATTGCAGAATACATACATACCAAATTTGTGTCAAATACATGATTTTAGGGCTTCCGCCGGGAGCATAAAAGTGATAAAATTTAGCTCTGATTATCATATTCATATCTTTATATCAGTATGCTTTAATTGGAGTCTATATACTTAGAAAGTATCTTATGGACCCTATGCTTCCTGTCTTGTTGTAAGTTCTGGAAGAAAATATCTCAGTGACAATATATTGAACATCAAAGTTGGGGGACCAGTTAATTAGCTAGAAAGGCTGAAAAGTGACTTAACTACACAGAGATGTTAAAAATGCACCTTTATGCTGTTAGCCCCAGATATTTTCGAGATGCAGGATCATAATCTGTATGCATGATTCAGATACATCCTGGTTTGTATATATATATACGCGAAATAAATATAATAATAATCTCTGTCTCTGTCTGTCTGTCTGTCTGTCTGTCTCTCTCTCTCTATATATATATATGTTTATACCTATTTATATATGTTTATAAATATTTATATATATTTATATAACAGAGCTACGTGTGGCGTTAAATCCCGGAACATAGTCTTGTACTGGTTATAATATATTCAATATGGCGACGCCAACTACCAATTGAGCAATTCTTACCTTTGCCAATGGGGTTATGTTTTCAGAGGCGTTTGTGTATATTTGTGTGTGTGTCTTGTGTGTGAGTGTGTTGTGTGTCTCTGTGAGTGTGTGTGTGTGTGTGTGTGTGTGTGTGTGTGTGTGTGTATTTAAAGCACGAGAGGAGAGAGAGAGAGAGAGAGAGAGAAGAAGAGAGAGAAAGAGAGATAGAGAGAGAGAGAGACGCACACTCGAAAATATACCCATGACGCCACTAAAACTTCTTGATGGATGTAATAATGCTAATTTAGATCCACATTTGCAAAAATCAAATTAACTTATCATATTCCCTATCAAATGACAATCGTAACAAACACCAAACAACATTTCATTACACATAGTACAACTAGAGTTTCATGACCTCATACCTTTAACAAAGAATGATATAACATTCCATCCTTAACTATGCGAATAAGGCCCTTATTCAAATAGATTATAATTAATGATGTTCGCCTTTACATAGCTTTTAAAAACCCCGAGTATGAAATTCTTTCACTCAACCTCCAAATGACACGAAGCCGTCTAAACGCAGTGTAATCACAATCTGGCAAACACACACACCAAAAAAAAAAGACAGAAACAACTAGAAAGACCGACATTTGCTTTGGAGCAAATGTAGCGGATGGCTTTGCCACATTTTACGACATGGCAGGAAAAGAATGAGAAATACAAGGGAAAATGATTCTTTACATTGATATAACTATAGTATGAAGTGACAACAGTTGGATAGCTATCCCCTACCTTATTGGTTAGGATTTTTAATTGCATTATGCAACTTTTGATTATCAAGATAAAACGAAGCGTTTATGCCCCGCATTCCAATGGAGCAGGAAAGCTTAACATACCTACCAAAACACTTGGATGCAGTTCATACATGCACGGCTTTGTACAGGTGTTTATTGTAAGAAGTTAGCCCCAGTCTTTTCTAACTTCGTCTGTTGTCTGATATGACCAGACGGTGATAAAAAAAATCGATTTGGCTTATATTTTGAATAGTTGTATAAACATCCCCTTTCAAGTCAAAACGATGGTGTATGTTTTAAATGCAGAGTTTAATGCCCAGGACAGCGCAACAAGGAAGTAACCGCCACTGTGGCTTCTTCGCCAGCTTGATTAGTGATTTGGCCTCCATAACTGCATATTAAGTCATCAACATCCCAGATTGCCTTTTCCACGAAACAAAAGGTACGGATTTGCATAATACTAGTAACTTTTTAAACAGATTGAAATATGTTTAGAACTTTTTTTCACATTGAGAGAGAGAGAGAGAGAGAGAGATCTAAATAAATATATATACATAGAGAGAGAGAGAGAGAGAGAGAGAGAGATGGATAGATAGGTAGATAGATATACGCATCTATTACTATCCCTAAATATTCTGTCTTTCTTTCTTTTGTTATAGGCTCCTTCTCCTCCAGCACTATGCTAGGAGCCCACATATAAATGCTGTTTTCTCTGTATCGTCACTGTGTTAGTCGTTGAAAGCTTGGTGCTGTTCAACGCTAAGGTACAATCCTTTTGTACATTTCTCACCACATGGATGTATTAATTGCTAAATCTAATACGAAACAAACGTAAATAGAAACGCAGTCATTTGCTCAGCAGCAAATATTTATCTTTCGTTTAATGTTTCTCCTTGTTCCAAAATTGATTGTTCTATATCAAACTACTCCCTGTAGTGCTATTCAATATCAATTGTTTTCTATACCCCGATGTACTTCCTAATACCTATGCAGAGCTTCCTAGTAGAATATTCTCTAAACGCCCATGTAGTGCTATTTACAAGCATGTATTAATAAAAAAAAGCCCCTGAGTAGCACTTTATTGGGTGTTTCAAAAACCCCAATCTAGCGCTCAAAATCCCAAAATAGTGCGTGCCAGTAAAAGTGTTCTCCAAACCCCCACTAAGTGCTTTTTAGTGAAAGATGCCTGAATGGCGTTGATATTAACATGTATACAAAATGTCAAAATATCATATATTTACAAAAACTCTAAAACAGTAAAGTAAGCGTACAACCCAGATCTTTACAAGCTCCATTATCTTGTGCCAGACCGGTGAAGAAAGGAGTTCTCTAGTTTTTTGTGACTTGTAACCTTTATCAATGTCCTAAGTTTTCTTGGACAGTTTTGACACTAACAGCGAGCAGATTATTATTGGAATGAGCAGAGCACTTTGGACTAATGCCTCTGACTATTTACAGCTTAGAGGTACATATCCAATATTTTGTCAAAAACTTCTCTGTTACATAGCGGATCATAATGACCCCCAGCGGGGGTCTTCACTCTTCGTTAAAAATGGAAAAATCTGAAGATTTATTCCAAAGATCTCAATATTTTAGACGAAATCTTGAGACCTTATGAGACAATCTTGAGATTTTTCATGACAATCTCAAGATCTTTCAGAAAATCTTAAGATGAAAATGAAAGGTCTCAAGATCTTTCCAAGATGTTTTCAAAGCATCTTGAGATTTTTTCATAGCATCTCAAGATACTTTAAAAATATCAAGATTGTTGAAAAAATCTCAGGTTTCTTTCAAGATTGCTTTATAAATCATGAGATCTTTTTAAAAATCTTGATATTTTTTAAAGCATCTCGAGATGCTATGGAAAAATCTCAAGATGGTTTATAAATATCTTGGAAGATCTTGAGACCTTACGTTTTCATCTTAAGATTTTCTGAAAGATGTTGAGATTGTGTCATTAGATCTCAATATTTTGTCTAAAATACTGAGATCTTTGGAATAAATCTTGAGATTTTTCCATTTTCAACGAAGCTTGAAGACCCCCGCTGGGGGTCATTATGATTTGCTATGTAACAGAGAAGTTTTTGACAAAATATTGGATATGTACCTCTAAGCTGTAAACGGTCAGAGGCATTAGTCCAAAGTGCTCTGCTCATTCCAATAATAATCTGCTTGCTGTTCACTATATTCTTCCTTTACAGGTAACACCTTGGCAAACCAAATTAAGTCACCCTGTATTTAAAATTCGTGGCGAATCCAATCAACCCTTCGTCCATACGGGTATGAATCAAGACGAATCCAAACAACCGTACGTCACTGAGAAACGTAGTATATATTGTAAATCTAAAGAGTCACCCATGGATGAGGAGATGTATGCCAACCAAATTAGGTCTTTCTTAGAATTTCAATACAATGAAACCTTTATAATAGGCGACATATTACGCATTGTTGTCTCGGTCGAAGGCAATGAAGGAAATCTAACATCTGCATGCAATGTCGGTGATTACTTACGGGCGTCAATTTCTAGTGTTAAAACGAAGTCTGGCGCAGTTGGGATCATCACAGACCACGGGAACGGCACGTACACGGCAACCTTCCGACTGCTGTGGGCAGGTGATGTTCACATGAAGATCCAACTTGTCCATTCACATCAGGCCATAGATGTTATAAAAAGAACAGTAATGGAACATCCTATTGACAAAGTTATGTTTCAGAAAACATACACAGTCGGTAAGGACAAAATCTACACCAGGTGTAACGTAGATCCAGCCATCTTCAACAAAACTACACCGATCTGTGACTACTCCGACCCGCATGCAGGTGCAAGTTGGTACTGTGAAAAAGCCTCGAATATATCCTGCAATACACCAGGCTACCACAGCTATCTAAGCACAAATTTTTCGCTGTTGAGGAACGGAGAGGAAGTTCGTTTTGGCAGGTTATTCTACTTTTATAATTGCTATTTGGGTCCTAAAATATTCTGTTTTTAAATCTTTTATCTTAGTAGTTAGTAGTTAGCTTTAGTCTGAAACAAGTTTAATACATTCAGAGAGTGGATAATTGTAATTGCTGGACGGACAACAGTTCCTTAAGGGCCACAGTGGTTGTTAAGTTAAGCCCATCCTTCCATTAGGCCACAACATAACCAAAAAGCCCTGTCTAATGTGCGTTTACATTATGTAACTTTATACCATTTTCACTCATCAAACATCTAGACACAATGTCATATGATGGTGTTTTTTGTCTTTAACAGGGGACTAAAAGGTATTAAGTGGAAGGTGTATGCATCTCCATCCCCAATCAAAGTTATCGGTGGTAAGTAAGAGCTGCATTGCAAAAGTGGTTTAAACGGGTACTTCTTGTTTTCTTTTCCCCCCCCCCCCCAAAAAAAAAGAAGAAAAGGATGAAATTTATGATTCTTGGACGTAGTGTGGACTACGTTTACACATCAATTCAGCAAAACAATTGAGCTGGTAGCATACTGATGATTTATAAAAATAAGCGAAAAAATGGTTTGGGGTCAGGGCATAGTCCGGAAAAGTGTACTGTTGAGGGTTAAACTGCGTCGTCAGCCACATACGAGTCGACCAACGTGTATTTGTTATCAATTAGGGGTACATTAGAAAATAAGTATATGTAAAAAAATAATGGATCGAACAAAAAATATTAGGAGTAGTGAATGCACACACTCATTTTTTTTTCAAACAGGACTGGACCCTTTGGCCAATCGTACGCGTTGCAAGCCGGGACTTCCAACCAACCAGATCTCGGGATTTTATGAAGATCGCGTCTGGAACTCACTAGTCTGTCAGAATAGACACTTCTCAAGCCAATCAGAATGGGGAAAATGTCTAAGGGGAAAGACTTTGCATCTGATGGGAGACTCTACCATTCGCCAATGGTACGAACATCTTGTGGAGATACTGAATATCACCAACAGTATCCTTCCAGAGGGTAACCGCCGGACTGGACCTATGTTGGCTCGTGACACAATTAACAACATTACGGTACAATTTCGAGCCCATGGACCACCTCTTCGTTGCCCATCGACACCGACCTTCCACCTAGAGTACGTCACTAATGTCATCGATAAAATCGATGGAGGGCCAAACGACGTCGTCGGCATCACGGTCTGGGCTCACTTCACCTCGTACCCTGTGGACATGTACAGAGAGAGGATGGAGGCCATCCGAGCTGCGATTCAACGGCTGCATCAGAGGAATCCTAAGACTCTCGTGGTCATCAAGTCCGCCAACACGCAAAGAGGGTATGCGCTTATCGGCGCAGATTGGCTAGCCCGTGAGTTAGATTTGATAATGAGAAAGACGTTTAAGGGGATGAGGGTGGTTCTTGTTGATGCCTGGGAAATGACAACTGCGCAGCAGTGGTATGAAGACGAAATTCATCCTGCCAGTGATATTATCATACAAGAACTAGAATTTCTCTGCTCTTTTGTTTGCCCTCTGTAGGTGTAGGTAGGTGCCCGGTCTAGACATAAACAGAAAAACAAAGTCAAGGTCTACAACTCAACTGTGTTAATTATTCTACAGTGTCTATTATGAATTAGTGTATGATATATGGGCTTCCCAAAGCATATGCGGAGTCTACTTGACCATCACCTTAAAATGGGCCTGTCAGTTTAACGCTTTCAGGCGTCGGTGTTCACGACAAAGCTATTTCCTATCTTTTATAGGAACCACGTGAAAGAATGTATTTTTAACCATAGAGTTGTCACAAAGGTTTTCTGATCTTACCTTGTAGAGTTTGAAGACTGGTTTGACCAACAAAAAATCAGCATTTGTCATTATTTTCGCCATGAATTTTGTTTTCCAGATATCACATTTACGGTTTCTAGGAATTGTTGGTAGAAGGCAATCTCACTAATACTAAATATTGACCGAAAACACATTGTAACCACCTACACTACAACAATATCGCAAAATAAACATGCTTATGAGTCCGTAGTTACATGTAGCTTCTCGGTCGTTTGTTCCAAGTAAGGTAAACCCGTAAATGTTTATATTTTACTCCGTACAACAGTTTTATGAATTCAATTTCAAACCAGTTTCAGTTTATTTTATTTAACCAGTAATTACAACTCAGGCCATCCCGGCCTGCTTTTCAGGTAATCCTGGATACACATAAAAGTACACACAGCAAATACACAGTACATAAACTATTACTAAATTACAACATCCTAAACATCAACAGTGTCAAAATCCTGCACCTAATGTTCTGAATAAAAGTCTTAAGAAGTCCTGCTCCTAATGAACTGTTTAAAAATCCTGAGAAGTCCTGCTTCTAATGTTCTGTTTAAAAGTCCTGAGACTGAGAAGCTGTCGTTGCTGTATCGGAAGAGTGTTCCACAGGTAAGAACCATAGTACTGTAGACTGCTCCTGTACGCCGTGACTCTTGCTGGTGGACAGCAGAGTAGGTGAGGGTCGTAGTCCCTAAGACGCTTTAACTCTGATCGAGTGGTCCGTACACTTAATGTTGGAGCAGTCTCCCACTTGAACAGAGATGACATGTACACCGGCGCACCTCCACGAATCGCCTTAAAGACATTAACGAGAGTTGTGATTTCTGTCCGTTTGCGCACAGAATCTATCCCTGCCTCAGCTCGCAGGTTAACCGCTGAGACACGGTCCTGGAGTTTGTGACCTGTAATAAGCCTTGCAGCTCGGTTGACCAGTCTGTCCAGCTGTGACATAAGAGTCTTGTTGCTCTGTACAAGACTTGGTAGCCATGCTGTGGCACAATACTCCAAATGAGACAGTAATAGTGTCTGGTACATGGTACGCAGAACGTCCTTTGTAACAAAGGCTCTAGCACGCCCCATGGCTCCGAGTCCGCTAAGAAGCTTCTTCGTGATTCTGTGTACATGAGCTGCCCACCTGAGTGATGGGTCGAGAGTAATGCCCAGGTAGGTGAACGAGTCAACTTGCTTATATACGTTCACACCGTCTGTTATGTTGACGGATGTCCCAGCATGCCTCAATTTCTGAGGGAGCCCAAAGAGCATCGCTTTGGTCTTGTCAGGATGTAACAGCAACTTATTTTCGTTTAGCCATTTTACAACTCTCTTCATGTCCATAGAGACAGTCTCTTCACAGGCCTTCACGGAGTCAGCCGAGTAGTACAGGACTGTGTCATCAGCATACATGTGGATGCTGCATTTTTCAATGACGTTGGGTAAGTCATTAACGTACAGACAGAACAGCAGGGGCCCAAGAACACTTCCCTGAGGAACCCCACAAGAAACCCGAGTTTTTGTAGAGTGTTGACCCTGAAGACAAGTGCAGTGGAAGCGCTCAGACAGGTAAGAGGAAAACCATTTCATGGCGTCACCGTCAAAGCCAAGCTTATCAAGTTTGCCTAACAGGATGTCATGGTTAACCGAATCGAAAGCCTTCCGTAGGTCCAGAAATAGTGCGACTGTGACTTTACTGCAGTTGTAACCAGATCTAATGTCCTCTACAATCTTCTGTACAGCAGTCCCCGTGCTATGGTGCCTCCTGAACCCGCTTTGGTAGGTAGTGAGAAGTTCACATCTGGTCAGGTAACGCGTCACTTGATTACATACAAGCTTTTCCATTACCTTCGACGTAACACTTAGCACGGACACAGGGCGGTAGTTACCGACATCAGCACAGTTACCAGACTTGTGTACAGGTGAGATCTGAGCCTCCTTCCAGTCAGATGGAACCTCTCCAGAGGCGAGTGATAAGTTAAATATATGAGTCAGAGGTTTTGCAATCACTGGGGCAGAGTCTTTGAGAAGTTTAGCTGGAATTTTGTCCAACCCCGTTGCTTTCCTCGTTTTCAGTCTTAAAAGTTCATTCATCACTTCTGACTCCACAACACTTTCAAAACTGAATTTCGTCGCGGGATCTGGGATGTGGCGGAGAGGATCCTCCTGGGAATCTGGTATCCCATCTGTAAGTCGTGAAGCGCAGGATGAAAAGTAATCGTTGAATTCCTGGGCCATTACGCTTGGGTCAGACGTGGAAGTGTTGTCAGCTCGCACCAATTTCTGGACTCGGCCTTTGGATTTTGATCTCCCTGTAAAAGTGTTTATGATCTTCCACATGAGAGATTGGTCACCCTTGGCCTCTGACACAGCTTTGGCAAAGTGACGTCTCTTCTCGTTTCTGATCAGGGATGTTGTCTGGTTTCTCAGAGCACGGTAAGTATCCCAGTGCTGTACAACTTTAGTTCTGATAGCTTTGCGTCTGGCAGCGTCCCGACGACCCATCATGTTTCTCACCCTATCAGTCATCCATGGGGCTGTGCGGTTGTTCTCCCGAAGTGTTTTCTTACGGAGCGGGGCGTGTTCGTTGGCAACATTCAGGAAAATGTCCGTAAAGGCATTCCAGGCCTCGCTAACATCCACACAGTCGAGTACTGTATCCCATCTGACTGATTTTAAACTGTCAATGAAGGATTGCTGTGAGTACTGCTTGTAAGACCTGTGTTCATACTGGTGAGACGCACCAGCCTCTCTTCCTGATTTAGAGCAGGTCAGAATGAGATTATGATCTGAAGGCCCCCAGGCTACACTTGCAGCTGATTTGTATCTGACTGGGTTTGAAACATAAATGTTATCAATACATGATTCAGTAGTCTCCGTAATACGGGTCGGTTGGTGAATGACAGGGACAAGTTGGTACAGACCCATCAGGAATTCCACTGAAGATTCTGACTGAGTAGATTTAAGCAGGTCAGAGTTGAAGTCCCCCATGATCGAGACATCCACGTTTTCATCTTCTGCGGTTTGGCTGAGAGTGCGGACGAGTGACTCGGCAGAGTCTCTCCATTCAGGACCGGAGTTCGGTGGTCGGTACACGCACGCGAGGATAGTCTTTCTCGCCTTCTCCGGTTTTACCTCGACACAGCAAACCTCCAGGTCGTCCCGCTCGAGATCAGACCGACGTTGTGACGGGATGGTCTGTCTCACATAAACCCCCACTCCGCCACCTTGTCTGGATCTGTCCCTTCTGTAAAGCGTGTAGCCATTCACTGCCACTACTGAGTCTGGGATAGTATCAGTTAGACGGGTTTCATTAAGACCCAATACATGTATCCGCGCATTTTGTAGGAGTAGCTGCTGGATTTCATCAAGATGTCGTGGAAGGGAGACTACATTGTAGTGTAATTAAGGAAAGAAGTCTATATTATATTATGTACGTTTAGAAAATTTTTCATAGACAGGTCGACTACATTGAAATAGGGCCGATAGGAGATTTGAAAGGGTAACTAAAGTTTGATACGTTGAAGCTGTTTAGATCGGAATTGTTTGGACATACTAAGACGGGGGAAGTATCTGAGGCCCGCTACCTGTACAACAACAACAACAGCAACGTCCCATTACAGGAACACTAAATTTTCAGAGGGTTTTGTAGCAGTAAGATTAAATCATAACACCGACGTTAGTGCCATTAATGATATGGTCCACCATCTTGGATTTTGACCAATGGCAGAAAATTACATAAAATTACATTTTAGATGTTATGTATAAGATACTTTTCTGTCCCTCTGACATCCTTATAATCACATTAATGACGTCATAAGGACGTCATATTACGTCATAACGACAAAAAATTGTAGTTATTATAAATCCATCCTCTGAAAATTTGGTGGTCATACGAAATACCGTTCGCGAGTTCTGAGGGGGGGGGGG